AATTAACTCACCTTCAGTCATGTTGCCGCGCTCAAATGCTCAGCCCAGGCCTCAGCGTCCAACCTTCCTCGATGCAGAGCCCTTCCCAATGCACACCCCAATCTCCACCACGACAAAAAGCTTAGGAAATAACAAATTCTTTCTGTGCGTGTGCGTGTGTATAGAGAGAGAGAGAGAGAAAGAGAGAGAGGAAGGATGCTACGTTTGTGTTTGTGTGTAGAACGGTTAGAGTACAGCTTAGAGCAGCACAGAGTAGGGTAGAGTAGCTCCGAGTCCAGTTCACAACGTCTTCGAGTAGGTTAGCAGGAAAACGTATAGCAGAGAGTGGCGCCGGCTCGGCGACTGTACGTAGCAAACCGACTTCCAGTAGTGCGCGCGTGCCTAAAAAAATTGTTACTATACGTTGTATGCACGCACACTGCCCCGGAACCGCGCGCAGTACCGGCGCTGGCCCTGTAACGTGTCATGCGCAACCCCCCTACGGCGTGCGGTAAGGCCGGTAACACGCTTCGGTACTGGCACTGGCGCTCGGGCCCGGTACAGCGCATGGTACTGCGCTGGCCACGGGACCGGTACCGGCCCTGGCGCCGAGCCGCTATGGTTCAACTTCTAAGAAGAAACTATCAGCAGAAGAAACTATCAGCAGACGATAGCCGAGCGAAAAATCGGAGGGCCCCGATCATCTGCTTGTCACAGGCAAGAAATCAGCGATAGTTATATATGTAGTGAAGTGGCACAGAGTAGCTCAGAGTCCAGTTCACGTCTTCGAGTAGCTTAGCATGAAAACAATGTCCAGTATAGAGTTGCGCCGGCGTCGACTCTAACTCGGCGACTGTACGTAGCAAACCGTCGTCCAGTAGACCTGTCGTCAAGTCGCCCTACCAAAAAAATTGTTCCTATACGTTGTTTGCACGCACACTGCCCCGGTACCGCGCGCAGTACCGGCGCTGGCCCTGTAACGTGTCATGCGCAACCCCGGTACCGCGTGCGGTAGGGCCGGTAACACGCTACGGTACTGTACTGGCAGTGGCGCGCGGGCCTGGTACAGCGCATGGTACTGACATTGGCCACGGGACTGATACCGGCCCTGGCGCAGAGCCGCTATGGTTCAACTTCTAAGAACAAACTATCAGCAGACGGTCGGGACCGTCGTCGAGCGAAAAATCGAAGGGCCCCGATCATCTGCTTGTCACAGGCAATAAATTAGCGATAGTTATATATGTAGTGATTATGACTACTTATTACACTATATACTGCGTAATAATTCTACAAGTTATCAGTTCCTTCAGTACGATGCTTATGTACAAGAAACGTATGTGCCGCTCAAAACCTCAACTACTGTCTTCCCTCAAATCAAACACGCAGTCATTATAGTTGCATATGGGGCAACTTCCAGTTTAGATACTGCGATAATGACCATGTGTTCCATTTGGGGGAAGACAGTCCATAGAGGGGACACCAAATGGACGGAGTAATTGGAGGTAGACGAAGGACAAGGACATGACAAGATAAGGCTCGGTGAAGGAGGATCAAGAAGAGGAAGAGAATGAGAAGAAGAAGAGGAGACAAGGAGGAGGAGGAGGCAAGGAGGAAGAGGAGGTCATGAGAATGTACAGACATTGCCGAGAAGAGGAGGAGATGATGAGCTAGGAGGTGGGGCGAGGAACAGAAGGGGGAGGGCTTTACGACTTCAAAACTTTAGGGGTATTCTTGAGTTGTGGTTGTTGAAATTAACCTCTTCCCTCCTTTGATGCGTCGAAACTTTACTCCTCGTCTATCTCGCCCATCCACCATCATCATCCATCATCACGCATCAGTATCACCACCACCACTCATCAGCATCATTATCATCATTATCATCATCATCATTACCTATCATCACCATCACCATCACCATCCTCTTCCTCATTGTCAGCCTCGTGACCTTCACTATTTCATCACGATCATGAGGTTGTTGTCGTGTCGTTTCTGACATGGGGTAGCCCCTAGCATTACTCGATTGTGACAGTAAGGCATGTGTATATCTTTCGGGTTGTTGTTCTTCTTTTCTCTGTGTCTAATTGTTGATTTAATTGTTGATTCATTTCGTTACCAGTGTTGGGCGTCATATTGTCGGGGTAACTTCTCTTGTGACTCATGCTTAGGCATTACAAATTTTCGCTACCCTGATAGGATTTGACCTGTTGATCTGTTCACCATGCTGGGACACCAGAACGTTTTGATATCCATCTTGTAACTCATATTGTAATTTTGGCAAGTAAAAAGCCAGTGGGGCTACACCCGCACAAATAGGGAAAAAGAAGAACATATGCGTGCCATATCAGGGGTCGAAATATACTCTCTCTCTCTCTCTCTCTCTCTCTCTCTCTCTCTCTCTCTCTCTCTCTCTCTCTCTCTCTCTCTCTCTCTCTCTCTCTCTCTCTCTCTNCTCTCTCTCTCTCTCTCTCTCTCTCTCTCTCTCTCTCTCTCTCTCTCTCTCTCTCTCTCTCTCTCTCTCTCTCTCTCTCTCTCTCTCTATTCTGTTTTCTGGGCATGTGTGAAGCGTGCAGTCCACGCACCTCAGGATGCACAACAGCGGGGGGGGAGAGAGAGAGAGAGAGAGAGCGGGGGGGCATTGACGGAGAGAGAGAGAGAGAGAGAAAGGGGGGGGGGAAGGTGAGAAAGAGAGGCTATCGAGCATGCTTACCTTTCTGGGCAGCGTCTCGGCTGAAGACGGGGGAAAATGCCGACGGGTTTACCCCAACAAAATGAAAGTAGAGCATGCGTTTAGAAAATGATTCAAAAATGCCAACGCTTTGAACGAAGCGGCGTACACACCACCAGTGCGTTTCCCCACTATTTTTCTCCGACGCGGCCGTGCTCGCAGCGCGTTTTTCGGGGGTGAGGGCGGGGTTCGGCAAGCCGTGCTCCACATTTCGAGTGGCAAGGCAAGGCCCACAGATGAAATGTGGCAGCGAGCCCACAAACGAAATGCAGAGCATGGAGCGCCGGTACCGGACGGGTAGCGTAGTGCTCCAGTATTGTGCATCACCGCAATTTCACTCGGCGCTGCTTGCCCGTCATCCCCGCCGTCACAATGGGGAATGAGAAGGGTTACGACACACTCCATGACAGGAGTGGAGGAGTCCCCTCGCAGCTGGTAATTCACTGAGCAGTCCTAGTAGATAGGCTAGTGTAGGAGAGGGAGTTGGAGAAGAATATAAACCCAAAAAAGAAGATCAGAGGAAAGTCGACAAAAGGAAAGACATATACGGTCAAACTTGAGGAGACCAACAAGTACTGGAGAGATGGCTACTCATCGGGACCAAGGTAGTCAGGGGAGACAACGTCGAGACAAAGGTAGTCAGGGGAGACAACGTCCTCCAATGCCGACCGACCCGAGAGGAGAGGAAGATAGAGTATGAGACTCAGTGGCAAGATGCTATGATGAAGGGATATGTCCGGACGATTCAAACCAAGGAAAGGTGGTGGAGGATGAGCAAGGGAAGAGATACGTGGTAAATGGAGCTGTGGACGGAGGTGCGCAGGGGGAGAATAAGCTTCGAGGGAGAAAACGTGGTCTCTTATGTGGCAAACGCCAAAGAGGTGGCTCAATGGCTAATCAATCAAGGGGAAATCAAGCTCCAATTGGCGGATAAAGAGTACCTCACAATCTGCAAACCATGGATGACCCGCAATGAACTTAAGAAGCTACGTTTACAAGATACTGCAATCAACTTCTGGATCATAGCGCTGAGAGTGCTCCTGGACACATATTACTACCTCAAATCTGCGGCAAGAAGCATGTTCGGGGAAGTGCTTCAGGTGCACCGTCCGGAATATAATAGGTCTCGCCCGGAGTTAATGAATGTAAAAATGGATATGGACCCCCGTGCAAGGTACGAGGTGGACATCGAGCTGTTGATCGAAGGGCCATCGGGAGAACGATGGAAGGTTGATATAGTGACCCCTTCTACAGACTATTCCCGTAAATGTTGCCGGTATTTTCATACGGCGGAGAATTGCCCTAAAACACGACAAGAGGAAAGGAGAAGGGAGGGAACACCACGGCAAGGAGGACGTAGAGAGAAACTCTTACAATTCATACTCAATCGAGGGCAGCGGAGCCAAGAGAAAGGGGAAGGGGTGAGGAACAGCAGGAGGAAGCCAGGAGATCCTATGCTCCGAGTTGGCACACAGCTATGCAAGAGAGGGAGGGAGGTAGATGAGGACCAGAGAGTAGCCAAGGGAGAAGGGAGGGCACACCAGTAGCCCAAGATTTACCCCAGTGGCGTAATAGAACAATAGAAGCAGGACAATCAGTAATCCTAGAGGAGCAACCCCTTCAAGTGTCGACGCAGACATGGGGTGAGCAAGAAGGTTGGGGCGGTGACCTGCAGGATCCAAGAGACGGAGGACGGATAATGCTCTTCGACCGGATAGCGAGAGGGGACTGGCTAGGGACCCAATCAAGGTGGGAACGCCAAGGCTTCAGAAACCATCGACATATAGACCGGACCGAGTACCAGCAAAGCTAACAGGGTCCCCTGCCCCCCTAGGGTCCACGACACCCGACCTGTCCACAACCTCTCTATCCAGATGACCCGTTGGAATGGAGGGGCATGGCCCCACACGACATAGAGAGAGGGACAGGGACGCAAACGTCGTACCATATGTAGTGAAAGACAAGGAGTGAATAGCATGGGAATGAGAAGAAGGGGGCGAGCTTGGAGAAGATGGAGAGAGGAGGAAACAAGAGACTCAGGAGGAACGGAGGACTTAGGCCGGAGAGCAAGAAGATGGGAGTACACGGCTCAGGGGGAAGAGTAGGGCCACTGGAGGGCATGGCAAGCGGGAACCAGGTCTGGAGATGTGTGGGATGGAAGACCACAACCATTTATGTCCAAGACCCCAACATCATTGTAGTCCAGGATAAGGATGGGAAGTGAATGGTTGGGAGATGAAGGTTCCGAAGAAAAGGGAGGAAGATCGGGGTCTGCAATAAACATGGAAAGGTCGGGAGACAATTCTGCAGATTCCAGGAAGCTGGAGGGAGAGAAGAGCACAAATGCATGACAGGTAGAAAGAGACCGTAGAGCGGACACGACACACAAAAGTCAAGTGGAAGTGGCCAAACGTCGCCAGATTCCGCTGCTGTGCACAATGACCAATGACGGAATATACTTTCTGGCAATAGCAGGAGCAGATTGCCAACCAACCTTACTGTCAGAAGAGGTGGATTGCTCGTCTACTCCAGGTCTAATCATGGAGAAAACGAGATATCTGTATGACAATCATGTTCCAATATGGATTATCCCAAGATCTTCAATGATCAGTATTTTCTGTGAAACGTAGGTGGGATTTTTCAAATGGTACTTTCCTCTGTTGGATGCCCGTATCCCACTAGGAATGGCAATCTAGAATAAGGTGGTACCACATGGAGAC